CATATCAGATCAGAAAATATTCAGGGTGAAGTTAAAGAGGAAAGTAACAGCCATTTTAAAATACTCATCACACATGCCACATGCATTTCCTATTCTCTACTTCCTTGTTGATCTACTCTCTTGATAATATTTTTCACTCCCAAGGTTTTCACAGCAATCTGTGATTTGCTCCCTATCTTCCCTAGTTCCAGCCTGAATCTTTCCAGAATTTCCAACCTGTATACCTGAAAAAAGGTAACAGTGTAACTTGAAAGTAAAAGAACAGGTTCTAAAGGTTGACTCCTGGGGGCGCCTGGGTGGCTCAGTCATCAAGCATCTGCCTTCGGCTGAGGTCATAGTCTCAGTGTCCTGGGATCTAGTCCTACATCGGGCTTCCCGCTTCACGGGAAGTCTGTTTCCTCCCTCTCCCACTCCCCCTGCTTGTGTTCTCTCTCTCGCTGTCTCTCTCTCTTTCAAATAAATAAATAAAATCTTAAAAAAAAAAATAAAGTATGACTCCTGGTTCCACAGTTTACAAGTTGTGTGTCTGGGAAAGTTTCATTCACTTTGAACTTAGTAGGGTATACAGGTGTATATGGCCCTATGGGGAGTTTCCTATTACAAGTGGACTGAGGAAGAAAGAAATCAAATCTGGTTCTGTGAAACCGGTTGGCCATAACTGAAAGTGGAGGGCTTCAGCTATACAGTTTAATTCCAAGTTGACACTGAAGACAATGGGAAATCTTCCTGGTGGACCATACTTTAAGTAGAACACATAGTTGCTCATTTTACTTGGAAGGAAAAATTACCACAGGTACAATTCCATACCAAGTCATGGGGACCAACTAATGGCGTGACAAGCTGATCAGGGAATTAAAAGGAACACTACTGCAAAATTGGTGACAGTAAGTTTGGGAATGGAATTTGTGAACAGACTTCTCTAAATGGGCACAGAGTGGGAAGATATTCAGGTCCCATATAAATACACATAAAAGAGTAGTCAGCAGAATATCATCTTAATAATCAGGTGGACAAGATGACCCATTCATATGGCTATTACTCTTTCTCAGCCGCCCTCTGCCTTCTCAATGCCTTGGACATAAGTGATCACAACAGCAGGGATGATTACGTATGGGCTCACAAAATGGACTTGCACCCATTAAGACTAGTCTGACTCTAGACACTGATGAGTACAACCAATCTACCAATGGACAGGCCACAAATGCACCTATATTTAGCAGCATTCCTTGAACCACTTCAATCATGGAAAGGGCAGTGGTTTGCTATCACTTGAACAGACACTTAACAATGTAGATTTACCATCTGTCCCTGCAACTTTTCTATGAATACCATCATCCATGAACTTGCTAAATGCCTTATTTAGTACCTTGGTACACAACAAAGCACTGATCCTGACTAAGACACTTACTTTATAACAAATGAAATACATTAATGGATTCATGCTTACGGAATTCACTAATCTTACTATTTTCCTATCACTGATAGAATGGTGCAATAACATTTTAAAAGTGTTAGTTATGGCAACAGCTGGATAACACTACCTTGCCAGGCTGAGGTAATGTCTTCCATGCTCTAAATGACCAACAAATACATAGTGCTATTTTCCCAGGCTGGGAATTTCAGGCCTGGGAATCAACAAGTAGAGATGAGAATGGGTCCTATCACAATTACCTCTAGTGATCCACTAGAGAAATATTCTTTCTATAACTTTGGGTTTTGCTGGTCTAGAGGTCTTAGGCTTCTACAAGGGATCACATAAATGCCTCCATTAAACTAGAAGTTGACAGTGTCACCCTGCCATGGTTTGTAAAGGGATTTCGTGTACTATTTTAGGGACAGGGCTAGTGTATTAGTTTTATGAGGGAAAGTTGCATTATGTTAGGTAAAAGCATATTTTTGTTATTGCCTTTATTTGAAATACAAATAAAGTTAGGAAAGATGTACACTTAGGTCAAATTGGCAAGTCGTGGATTACTGTGGCTTTCTAAGTGTCAATTTAGGTAGACTTCAACTACATTTTCCAGAATTCCTTCCCTCTGTGGTTTTAGATTAGGGTTAACTATAAGACAGATATGTATTATATAGGGATGGTAGACATAAAATAGCAACCTTTTTGTACTTGCAAGGCTGGCATAAAACACTGGGCACTGTGCAGCTTGCGTATGCCGTTGCTGATCTTCTGGCTTGCTTTATTGATAAGGAACAACACCTGGACCTATAGCTATTTAAACTTCTACCAGTTCTTTAGCTTTCTGAAGTATTGGGTCAGATGAATGTTCAGTTCCACAATGAAGGGCACCAATTTCTCCCATTAGTCATCCATGTCATCTTAATTATAGACAGTGACAAACAGGCACAGGGTTTAGTTTATAGACATGATTCCAGTGCATCCTTCCCAATTCCAGTTGGTTTTTGCTCTCCCCTACTCCACATCCAGCTTTCCTGCTCTACTGAAAACTCTCAGTACCAGATGGCAAGGCAACAGCCTTGTAAAAACCCCTTCACTGGCTCTCACCACCGCATCAGTTCTAATTCCCATAATTAATCTGAGATTCTGTATTACTTATATGGTTCTGCCTCTCTGATTAAACTCTGACTGATAATGATTAGTATGGAGAATTTATTTAAAAACTTTTACAAAATGAGCAAGACAATAGAAAAATGGAAAAAGAAACGGAAGTTGTGTGCATGTGCATGTGCACGCGCGCACACACACACACACAGGCTAATACAGGATGTTGGACCTCATCAGTAATTAGGTTCAGGAAATACAGATTAAAACATGAGGTACTATTTCACACTCATCAAAGCAGCAAATATTAAAATGTATGAAAACTCTTAAGAGTGAGTTTGGATGTGGAAAAAAAGGAAATTGTATATATTACTGGTGAGATTGTAAACTATTTCACCACTCTGGGAAATAATCCAGCAATACTGATAAAGCTGAAAACGAGCATTCCCTAAGAACTACCAATTCTACACCTAGGAAGGACCCTAGAGGAACTCCCACATACATAGTAAAACTGGGAAGGAACACATAATGTCCTTTGTCTACAGAATAACAGTATTAACGTATATTTGACATTGAGATACATTTATCTTGAGTTTAGTCATCCAGGAGGAGGTCGTCTCCAGTGTCAACTATGTTAGGTATTCCTCAATGATCCCTACCTTGAGGTAATCATACCCTTGTATAATCCCCTTCCCTTTTTTATAGCCTTGATTTAGTGTCTCACTTCTAGTGAACAAAATATGGTAGAGGTGATGGAATGTCACTTGCAAGATTAGGTTACAAAAGACCTTGGCTTCTGTATCTTTTACTGTTACACTGTGAGTTGCCCCAAGAGAAAACTACACAAAAGGAACTGGTATCTTCAGCCAATATTCAGTGAGGTCCTAAGGCCAGTCAACAGTCATATGTGCTTGGATATAGATCCTATTCTAGTTATACCTTGAAATGATTATCGCCCTGACACTCAGATTACAGAAGGGAGAGACCCTGAGCCAGAGATATCCAGCTGAGATTCCTGACCCACAGAAACCATGAGATAATAAATGTTTATTGTTTTAAGCCACTGAGTTTTAGGGCAATTTATAAAATAGCAATAGATAACCAATATACTCTCCAATAATCATTGCAAACCCACAGTCGTAAACAAATTCATTATTTGTAAACTAATATTCATTAATTCAACCAATAATTACTGAAGGTCTAATCCATCAAGTCCTGTTACAGGGATAAAGTCACAAAAACCCAGTTTCCAAACTATGCTTTTATGGAGCTTTGCACACAGACAATAAACAAAATATATCTTATGTCAGATGATGATAATTGCTATGGGGAAAAATAAAGCAAGGAAGCAGGACAGACAAAGCCCGAACTAAGGAGGGGCTGCAATTTTAAAAAGGGTAGTCAGAGGCCTCCTCTGAAAATATGACATATGAACAAAACCCTGAAAAGTATGATGAAATGAGTCATACAAGATCTGGAGGAAGTATATTCCAAGCAGAGAAAAGAGCAAACGGAAATGTCCTGATACAGGAGTAAAACTGACCATCTAGGGGGCCTGTCTACTTTTCTAAGGACTTTGGCTTTAACTCTGGAGTGAAATGTGGAGTCACTGTGTTTTGAAAAGAGGAGTGATATCACTAATGTTTTAAAATAATCATTCGGGGGGTGCCTGGGTGGCTCAGTCAGTTAAACATCTGACTTTGGCTCAGGTCATGATTCCAGGATCCTGGGACTGAGCCCCACATCAGGCTCTCTGATCAACAAGGAGCCTGCTTCTCCTTCTCCCTCTGCCATTCTCCCACCTTGTGCTCTCTGGCTCTATCTCTCTGTCAAATAAATAAATAAATAAATAAAATAAAGTAAAATGATCATCCTGGCTTCTGTGTTAAAAAAAGTTGTGTGTGGTGGGGTAGAGGATGAAGGTTTGGGGGGCACATCATGTGTTGAAGAAGGAGACTGGTGAGAAAGTTTTTATAATAACCCCAGCGAGAGTATGATGATTCAGATCATGGCGGGAAAGATTAAGGATGTGAAAAATAGTCAGATTATGAATGTTTCTTTTTTATCATGAATATGTTTTAAGGAAAGATTCAACAGAATTTGCCAAACAATTAAATTAATTTGTAAAGTACATATGTGTGTATACCCACTACGGGATACCTAGTGTAAATCATTAAGCCAGAAAATACATGCATTATTAACTCCACTTTCAAATATTTATTATTCATAATCTTCTATAACCTGTACCCATTGCTACTGCCTTGCTTCTAGGCACTATAATGAGTATTTTCAACAACTTTTTTTTTAAAGATTTTATTTATTTATTAGAGAGAGAGAGAGAGAAACAGCATGGGAGGGGAGAGGGTAGGAGGGAGAAGCAGGCTCCCCGCTGAGCCGGGAGCCCGATTTGGGACTCGATCCCAGGACTCTGGGATCATGACTTGAGACAAAGGCAGTTGCTTAACCAAACAACTTTTTAAAGGTTTCAAATGTATTTTATTTCTTCAACTATGCTATATTTTAATGAGCAGCAGAGTGCTTAAATGACAAGCTGATTTTGAAACAATTTTGTATTACAGTAACTTTGATGGTTACTCATCATTCCACTCTTTTGGAGTGACTCTGCCGACAGGAGATAGGTTCCATTCTATTCCGATGTGTGTGGCTATAAACACCCATGCAAAAACACAGAAAGCGGTCCCACTGGCTAGTACAGTGTTACCGTATTTGTCATGGAAATCTTCTGAATGATTTTCGTGGCTCTGTCTTGACCTAATTTGTTGAATGCTTCGAATCTTGAACCTATTTAGTGCATTTCTGGTCAAGAGAAACATGATGAAGGTGTAACAGGACTACCGTTGATTGCAGCTATTTCCTTGCAAAGAGACCTGGAAAAACAAAAGATAAGCAATGACATCTGATCTACATTCAGTTCTTCCCTCTGAATATTTCACTCACACCACTACTTAGAGTATGACCAGTCCGATAGCTTTAATACCATGATGCCTAGGTTTGAGTCTCAGCTCTCCTACTGATTAGCTGTATGTACTCAGGCAGTTACTTAACCTCTCTTTGCCTTAGTCTCTTCAAGGGCAAATTGAGACAATAACGCCCAGCTCCAAAGGGTGCTATGTGTGGAACAGCACTCCAGCGGGTCTTAAGGGTTCCCTTGCTTCAAGTTAGCACACTCCTTACTTGCTAACCTAAGGTCCTTGATCTGTAACAGAACTAATTTACTTTCTTTGCAATATGTAGACCACTGGCCTTGAGGAGTGAAGGACTAGAACTTTCCCAGGCCACAGAAGCCAGCAAGTCTGTTTGAAACCACCTCGGCTTTCTGATTAGTCTGGTAGTTCTTTAGCAAAACGTTTTTCTTTTTTAGTTACACAGATGACTTTACTGACCTCCCTTTGTGCATCTGTAGACCTTGCCTTCCCCTCCAGAGACAACAGAGCACTCCAGCACATCACGAAACAAGAACCAGACCATCCTGCACAACTCCCTCTCACATAACTTTTGTAGTTGGCATTACTGAGTCTGCATGAATAATACACATTGGGGAGGGTATGTGCTATGGTGAGCGCTGTGAATTGTGTAAGACTGATGAATCACAGACCTGTACCTCTGAAACAAATAATACATTTTATGTTAAAAAAAAATAAAAAAAAGATAGTAGGAAGGGAAAAATGAAGGGAGGGAATTGGAGGGGGAGACGAACCATGAGAGACTATGGACTCTGAGAAACAAACTGGGGGTTCTAGAGGGGAGGGGGGTGGGGGGATGGGTTAGTCCGGTGATGGATATTAAGGAGGGCACGTACTGCATGGAGCCCTGGGTGTTATACGGAAACAATGAATCATGGAACACTACATCAAAAACTAATGATGTAATGTATGGTGATTAACATAACATCATAAAATAAAATAAAATAAATAAAAAGAAAGAAATGTTGAAGGTCGCTGCATTCCCTTTGTTGACCAACCATCCTAAACCTCTTTAAAAACCATTGGGTCAAGGAGAAACCTCAGAGTTTGCTTTTGGACAAGAGTCCACCTTCTCCTCAGGTTCCCAGCTTCCTGAATAAAGTTCAAATTTCTTTCCAATCAAAACTTGTCCCTTGAGAGATGATCTTTCAGGTGATGGACAGCTGTACTTGGGTTCCATAACATGATGCTTACATGTGATAATCCCTAACAACAACAGTAAGCACACAGTAAGTGTTCTTTTCTATTCTTCATCAACAGCCAATGGCTTGCTCCCTAGACTCCAAACCAATCAGCATGACGGACAAAATGACAATTCACAACATGTCCCACAAGTCCAATGATCTGTGACTACATAAACTCAGGTTCCAGTCAGAATTATAAGGCCGTCACAGAGTATGTCATACTTCCTCCCTGCTGCTCCTTTCCCCCCCTTTTCACCCCTTTCTTCACCTCCTCCCCCCTTCTCCTTCTTTACCTATAATTCCCGCCTTGTACCTTTCTACAGGTAAAAGTCTATTTGCCTTTTAAATCCCAGTCTAAAGGTCACCACTTCTGTGAAATCTCCAAATCTCACTACGTTGAATAAAGCCCCTCTTCTCTGGGCTACTACACTTTCTTATAACCCTTGTTTCGTAGCATTTAACATGATGTATTGGCTTTATCGTTTTTTAAAATAGACTTTATTTTATTTTAGAACAGTTTTAGGTTCACTGCAAAAGTGAGTGGAAAATACAGAGTCCCCATATACATGCTAAGCCCACACAGGCATAGCTTCCTTCTCCCCGCTAATAAATTTGTTACGTTTGTTACAATTAATGAACCTACATAACAGTCCTTTATCAGATGTCTTTTGCAAATATTTTCTCCCAGCCTGTGGCTTGTCTTCTCATTTTCTTGAGAGAATATATTCTCCTCCAATAGACTACAAGGTCCTTATGGGCAAGGGCTGTAATCTTGTATACACAGTAGCTGACACAAAAGCACAGAAAGAACTGTTTTTATTTGTTTATTTATTTATTTAAAGATTTTTTTTATTTATTTTTTGACAGAGAGAGACACAGCGAGAAAGGTAACACAAGCAGGGGGAGTGGGAGAGGGAGAAGCAGGCTCCCCGCGGAGCAGGGAGCCGGATGTGGGGCTCGATCCCAGGACTCTGGGATCATGACCTGAGCCGAAGGCAGATGCTTAATGACTGAGCCACCCAGGCACCCCAAGAACTGTTTTTTTAAAACTGTCTGAAATATAAATGAATACTGGTAGCCTTAAGTTAAAATGAAAACTGAGGACAAGTTAAAAAATCATGAAATCAAATGTACATGTCATAACAGCCCTAATTATTTTATTTTTTAAACAGATAGTTAATATTGAACAAGAGATCTAGAAGCAGAAACACATGGAGTTCTGTCAATTTCTTTTCTTTGTGCAAGCTGTCAAACAGTGCTCAGTCTCTAGCAATGACATATGTTAACTCTGGTCCAAATGCAGGCAACATGGATACAAAAATGCCTGAGGTCAGTACTTGTAAACTTGTAACTGTTCACTGAAATTTGCCAACTCAAATGACTTTATTCCCAACTTAGAAAACAAGACCCTAAGGTTCTCTTTTATTTCCTACCAGATGGTAAAGTGGTACTCTTCATGATTGTGATGAAGGGGACAAAAACAGAACCAAATGCCTTTCTTCTGAGGTTCCAAATACTCAGTTTTTTTTTCCTGTTAGTCATGAATCTCTCCACCAAAATGCACTAAGGTTTTAATTTGAATTGAATTCAGAAAGAAAGCTGAAGGTGAAAAGGGTCAGGGTATGACAGGTGCAGCCTTAATTCAATACCAAAACACTTGTGACACATAGAATGGCACAAAACCAGAGAATAATTGTGGTAACAGGGATTTCTTGTGGGTCATCGATGCATGAGTGCTACTTTATGACAAAATGATTTCATTATTCCTATCCTCAAGATGTTAAGTTGAAACTCAGATACTTTGTCTCTAGTGACACTGATCACGTCGCTTTGTAGCTTGGTTCATCCTTTGGTTATCCTGTTTCTGTGAAGCTTTTTTCTTCCACCTAGCCTGAATTTTCTTGTACTAGTAAATATGCATTAAGAATTTTCTTTTAGGAACTCCCATAGTTTGTAGTTGGCATTTCATCCCATAATAAACAAAACACAGTCTTTCACTCCTTTTTTGTTTTTCCTTGTCAGCATTAGCTACATCTGTCTCAATTGCTTCCATATCTATCTTATATCTATTTCTGTTTATAAAATGCAAGTAAGAGCTGGGAATCCATGGCTTAGAGAAATTTTCCATACTCTTCAATTTCATATAACTTACCTTTATAATAAATTTCACATTCTTGAGAAACCTAAGCCTATTACTAGAAGAACTGAATCAATAACATCTAATATCCATATGAAAGCATAAAAAATTCAATAATAGAATGCAGGTAAAGAAAATATTTCTCAAAGTAGATACTTTCTGATGAAAACAGGCCACAAAGAGATGGAATAAGACAGATTTCTCTAGGTAATAAGAACAAAGTAGAGGTTCTCTCGTGCCTGTGGCAATAAAAGAAAAGAAATATGTTCTGAATAAATATAAATAGTTAAAGAGAGTGAAGTATCCTATGAGGATGAAAAGGAAAAATTGATTGTGTCATCTACTTTATACAGCAATGTTGAAACTCAGTTTAGGAAAATAACTAATACTAGACTTCAAGCTAAGTGCAATAAGGAGGTATATATATATATTTGAAGCTTCACGGATAACAAAAATAATCTCACATCACTAAAGGCCATAAAAAGAAATAACACAATAATATATTAATATAGTAAGAAAACTAATATTTAATGAATATATGCCTGTTTGCCAGACATTGTCCCAGAATTTTGCACATTTGCAAAAACAGTGTACAATGGTGATTATTTATCTCCATTCTGTATCTAAGAATAAATGACAGGCCGAGATGTGAATTCAGCTCCCCTGATTATAAATCTAGTTCATTTTTCAACTATCATTTTTCTATCATTTTTCAAAGCATATTCAATTCTGAGTATTAGAAATAAAAAAATCCAAACACCCAATATGGGTTACCAGAGGTGGTTTTACTGTAATATCTGCTGAGTGACTACTGGCATGTGAGGGTCTGGGCTGGGTGGCAGGAGTTCCATGCCTACTCTCGAGAAGCTTATGGTAGAGTGAGGGAATGAACACAGGGTGTCCCTGGTCCACAGGAGGAGTTACATTTCAACCTGGAGTTCTAGAAATGGTTATAGAGGAAATGACACCTAGGCTAGATCTTGAAAGAATGATTAAGATATAAAAAAACAAAGCTGGGAGTGCAGAGTGTAGACGAAGCAGCAAAAGTGAAAGCACAGAGGGCTGAAAAACTATGCAGGCAGGGCAACTGGTGAGATCCGTAACACTAGGTGCTAAGGGAAGAAGTGGATGAGGAAAGAAGAGTGGCACAGTGAAGACTTCACAGGCCCCGCTCTGGGATTTAGACTTAATTCTACAGATCACTGTTTCTCACTAATGTGAAAAGAGCACTCAAAACTCACAGCCTTTTTTCTGTGAGTTAACAATGAGAATTCTTAGTTCTGTGTTTTTACTTTCACAATTTAAGGAAATATAAGATAACAATATGAGACCTGGATGATGTAGCTTATCAATTACTGGTGCCTGTGTTTATCTTTGTCCTGCATTTTTTGCTTGTACCAGTGTATATTTATTTATCCTGGACTAATGGGAAAAGAATGGAGGCAGCTTTCATATTTAAGTAATATGGTCATGCCAGGGACAAAACGAAGAATCAGATGAAAGCAAGTTATGACACAGATCACTATGTGGAACAGACATGTGAAAATAAAAGAACTATGGCCATGGCAAGCACTGTTGCAGACTCTGGACAATATTAATGGTCATATTGAATTAATATTATAATTTTGAATTTTCTTTGTTGTATAGTTTGGTTCATTTTTAATTTGAAAATGTTTTGGTTTCATAGTTGTATTCTTTTTTTTTTTAAGATTTATTTGACAGAGAGAGAGAGAGTGAGAGAGGGAACACAAGCAGGGGGAGTGGGAGAGGGAGAAGCAGGCTTCCCGCTGAGCAGGGAGCCCAATGTGGGGCTTGATCCCAGGACCCTGGGACCATGACCTGAGCCGAAGGCAGACGCTTAACGACTGAGCCACCCAGGTGCCCCTTATAGTTGTATCTTAAATTTGGTTTTATGTTTACACATGTGTAAGTGAGTTTAAAATAAAGTAATTCAAGATGGACAAATGATATGAAGGAATTTGTTGCCCCTTTAAAAAGATTCCATATGTAATCCAAGTTTGAGAAACATTCTTATAGAGGAGAGACCACTGATGGAATGGGAAAAAATCTGGGGGAAAAAGCGCTTTACCAAGATAATTGTTAGGTGGAAAATGGGTAGGAAGATGGTAAAAGTTGCAGAAAAGGTAGGAGGTTATTTCAATATTAAATGTTTATTTCAATGGTTCAAGAAAATGATGATGAGGATCTGACTTAAATTCTGATAAAACAGATGGAAAGGAACTAGAATTGAGAAATATTAGGAAAAGAAAATCACTCTGATGTGGAAAATAAGTAAACTGAGTAAGTCCATTCACGGAGCCTCTGGTTTACTATTTTGGACCAAAATTCTATTTTTGTTAAAAATCAGCAGACACCGACACTATAGCTTATAGCTGATCCCAGGGAATTAGAGTGTGGGTGATCTAGGTATGGAATGCAGAAAGGTCAAAGCAGACATAATTGGGGTGCTCTAGGAATAGAAAGATCTAGATACCTGAAGAGAAGAAGGGAGGGATCCTAAAAAGATCTACTGTATGGTCCTAAGGAAAAAAAAATCAACTTCATCCAGTTTAAGTATAGCATAACACAGATCAATTAGCTTAGGTTTTATATAAGGTTTTCTATTTAACTTTAGGGAGATAATTAGAAACCGTGTCTTATTCTCAAATGTGCCTAGTATTACTAGCAAGTATCACACAGAGAGATGGTGCTCAAGAAGGGATTAAGTGAATACCAAGTTTTCCCAACCTGGACTCTATTGACATTTTGGTCCAAGTAATTCTTTCTTGTGGGGGGATATTCTGTTCATTGCAGTGTGTTTAGCAGCATCCCTGCCCCTGTGTACCACACACAAGTAGGAAGTATCTTCCTCCCCTCAGTTGTGACACCAAAAATGTTATCTCCAGACACTGTCAAATGTCACTTGGTGATTAAAGTCATCACGGGTTAAGAACCACTGTTATATACAAAGTGTCTCCTGTCACTTCTCCTATAATCCTCTAAATGGCATTATTCTATTCAATACAGAGGCTTAAATTCTAAGAAAATACATTCCCCCATTCCCTGCCATGGACTGCATAAAGACTACCTATCAACATTTTTTCCTGAACTAATCTCAACTTAAAAAATGTTGTGCAGTACACAACTTAGATGCATCAATCTATCTGGGCATCTGCTTGCTTGTCTATAAAATAAAAAAAGTGGGGTGAATTTGGCTTTTCCCAAACCTGCCTGATGCTAAGTCATCTGGAATCTTTGTTACAAAATGTAGATCACTAGACTCCATGTCCAACTTACTGAAACAGAGCATCCAGGGGAGTAGCCTGAGAATCTGTACCTTTTTAAAAAGTTCTCAGAGCTTGTTTGGAGGTTCTAGCAGGGGAAGAGTCTTGTCATCAGACAAGTTTATGGAACAGTGAATCAGATAATCTCTAAGGTCCTATCCAGCCCTAACACTCTAGACCTTTCCAAAGAGAAAAACATTTTAGGAAGACCATTTATTATTTTAGGCCACTGGAAGAGTACAGTAGTAATTGAATTCACCACCACGGTAATTTAAAAAAGCAGCACCTGAGTGACCTGAGTTATAGGAACCCCCTGGGAATAAGTTAGTCAACAGAAAACATTTGGCAGCATTTAAAAACATTAAAAGTATTAGTAACACTGGTGTTTTGCTGTATAATGAATGATACACTTTCGAAGCTGAGGCTCCTTGACTACATTGGTCAACTGTAACACCTTTATTTCCACTTGCTTTTATTTCTACTCTTCTTTTTACAGCTTCAGAATATTGACACACACTAAGAAACAATAGAAAAAGGCAATCTTCTTGAAATGAAAATGCACATAACCTACAGAGTCTTCTGTTCATTTATGTATTTCTCAGAAGACTATGCTGCTCAGGGAAGGATTAAGTGTACACAGTGCAAAGTGTCTCCCATCATGATTACTTAAGCCTTCAGCCTTTTTGTAACAGGAAATATGGGAACCCTGCAAGCATCAATGCTGCTGGTGGAAATGCTGAACAATGGTTCTGTTTCATATGTAATGATAACATCTCCTGAGTCACTGAATTGATGGATGGTACAGCCATTTGCTTAAGGCCGTGGTTTATGTCACTTTATTAAGTCTAAAAAGTTACATAAATGGATGTTACCTGAACAAATTAAAAGGCAGATCACAGTAGTGAGTTGTTAGGTGAGGAGGGAGAGTAACAGAATGGACAACTTGTGAGTTGATGTCCTCAAATGACAAATGTTGCCTGAAAAGTGAAGGGATATAAGGTATTACTCTCCCTCACAGTCAGTGGCATGACTGTGCAAAATAATTCTTATGTTCCATTAAACTTTCATAAGCCCATCAAATTTCCTCACGGTGGATGTCCATGTTAATTTTACATTTCGATCCATTTCAAACATTGGAAACAGGCGACCTTGTTATTTTAGGCAGTGCATTAAGTGTTAAAGGACCACTGTGGTTACTCTCAAAAGATTTTATATTAACTGCATTCCATAGCTCATAGATTGTTGTATAGTCACGTCCTGCCTGAAGAGACTATTTCAGTGGACCAACAGGTCAAAATATCTGGATAAATGCACAGCATTTTTCCAAACTAATCTTGGAAAAGAAGAAGATCATGGTTACAATGAATTCTAGAAACTTTGAAAATTTTATCCAGGAAATGATATGGAGTCACCGAAAGACATCAGGGGTATGAATTACATGGTCAGATTTGTAGCTTAGACATTACTCTGGTACAAGTATGGGGAAAAGTTTGCAGGAGAATACTGCAAATGCTCCAATGGATAATGGTAAGACTTGAACTTGGACAGTTCACCCAATTAAGGTCTCAAAATACGCCAGTCTCTTTATTTCTGTAGTCGTCATATTTCTGTATCCAATCCTCAGCTTTGCAGAGCCACAACAAAATTCTTTGGTACAGGCACCTAAGGATGACAACCTCTGAGGATCTACCTCATGCCACTGGAGATCTTAGAACTTGATGTATAAACCAGAATGTGGGAATTAATTTTTTAAACCAGAATGTGGGAATTAATTTTTTAACTTCAAAAGAAAAATATTCCATTCCAGTGAATGGAATACCTCACTTACCTCTTAGCTTTACTACCTTGATGCAGATTTCAATCATAAAGTGACCTTACTATCAATATTCACTAAAAGATGTGCCTATTTTACTAGTTCTGTTTGATGTTAGTAGGTGTTACTTTTAAAACGCTCTTTAAAGTCATCTAAATTTGGGCAATATACAGATAACAAAGTCAAATTCTTCTTTATTGAAGCATTTTCCAAACCTCTCTTGTGCTACCATACACAGCTATTCTCTTACAGGGATGGTGCTTTCCAAACTGAGCTAAACATGCCATGCTTTTTTTCTCCTGGAGTGTATCTTTGTTATTAGTGTTTTCCAGAACACACTTCAGGGAACGCCAAAAGAATGTCTCTGTGTTCTCAATGCTGTTACATCATTGTACTCATTTCCAATAGTTTAATAGCTCCAGGAGGCATTTCACAAACAAAACCACTTCCTTGTGGGGACTTTTAACATAGGACTGAAGAAGCACAGAGTGCATGATAAGCCCAGGCTATCCTAACAGCACTCATAGTAGCAATTAACTCTAGCCTTCATTATGCGATTCTAACTTCTGCAGTTTTAATATTTGTGTAGATGTTTCCCTCCTCTCCACATCTACCTTTATTCATTAAATGATCTATGAATAGAAAGATCGCATGATGCTGCACTGGCCATTAGAGTTGCCTCAATAATCCCTCATTGCATAACCTGAAATTTTCATTTAAATCTTGAAATGAAAATGTACAAGCCATCCCTGCAGTTAATCTAATTATGTCACTGATAATGTAAAAGTAAAAATTAAAATTTTTAACTTTTAGATGTCAAAAACATTTTAAATCTGAAAGACACATTTAACTGAAACTTTCAGATGTCAAAGACATTTTAAATCTGAAAGACACATTAACAACCTGAAATTAGGACAGTAAGGGTCTACTCCAGAAATTAATTTGGATCCAATCCCAAATTCAGATTGGAATATTTAGCGCTGTGAAATAATCCTTTCTTCCTTGTTTCTAAAATCTCCAGATTTTTTATTTACAACTTGAACTATCTCTGCTCAAAATATATCTGTAAATAAAACCTTTATGAGTAAGACTTTTGTTCTTGCCATCATCTGGGCAACTTAAGGAGCATTTGCAGAGAAATTCCATTTGATGAGAAGAGCACTTCACAGCCCTAAAGTAATAACTATGATCACTTTCCAAGTTGTTTTTCTGGGCCAGTTCTCTCTTTCAGTATACTCTTTTTTTCCTTTACTTTCATAAAGTTTTGAGAACTTTTTTAAAACTTTTAACAAGATGTTGGCATTTTACCTTTTTTCGTTCTCCCATTTAGGATCCATTATTTGGAAGTGAGAAGGACTTTGGCCAGAGGGCTGACTCTGGTAAACTGATATTTTTTTTTCCTTGTAAATGCCTCAGAAGAAACAGTGAGACAGGATGCACTTTGCCAAACCTTGGGGCAGGGATTCTGCTTTAGTGAACTGATATTTCATTTTAGTTTTTAAGTTCCTGAGGGGAAGGACACTAAAGAAGAGCTTCCCCATCTAAACACACGCAACAGAAATTCAGAACACAGATTCTTGCTTTGAAATCCTAAAACATCTAATTAGAATTCTAGTTTCAAAGAGGTTACTTTCAGTTTCTTTCGTTAATCCAATGGAGTCTAAAATATCACAGATTAAAAATGGCATTCTAAACCAAATTAGCATAATTAACCTTGTGAATATTTGTTAATTGGAAAAGTAAGATCTCTATGCAAATAGGCCATAATTTTGATTACGTATACAATTTATGCAGCTTACACCCACTGCTGATGATGGAACTGTGGGTTTCTTTATATAACGTATTTTATCACATTTATCAAATCCAAATCATAAGATCTAAATGACACAGACATCACTTTAGATTGTCCTTTAATATCTGCAGTAATTGTTTGGTCACCGGACATTCATGAGTTGATATTATAAACATATGTTAAGGAAGAACATGGATAGAAATAGGAGGGTGGGGAGGGGATAGTAAATAGATAACTCTAGCTATTCCTTTCCCAGATTCATATTCTATTTGAAGGAGAGGTAGAAATCAAACTCATGTATGTATTTTTCTAATGCAGTTGGAAAAGACACACAGATCTAAGTATAGAAATAGGTGAGGGACCTGAATCCTCTGCTCTTCTTAGAATCAGGACACTGACTGAGAATGAAAGATAGATGGCTTCCTGAGAGCAATAGGATGCTGTTAAAAGAAGATGGAATGCATACTGAATGAGAAAAAAAAAAAAGTCCACTACACTGGAAGAAAAGTTTGATCCAATCAGAGGTCCACCAGGGGTAGGGGTGAAAACAGAAATTCATTCATTAAATGACAGGGACCAGTGGATTACATACTCTCTAGTTTCTTCTATCTCTAACATCTTATTTTTATATTAAATGCTTCAAATAAATGTACTGCACAGGCCCAAAGAAGTCAGGGTTAGGAGGAACTACAACTGTGTGAGAATGGGCACATATATACTCTTCTTTCTATTTATTTCTAGAACTGCAAGTTGCCCTTTTGAGTTTTTTGCATAATAAAAAGATCCTCTAGAAACCCTAAATACTGAGGTTATTTTATTGCTTAAACATGATTCAACTGAGCTTCTCTTATGTGACTACAGCCTGCTAAACACTGGAGTTACAAAAATGGACAAGAATGGCCCATTCTTTCAGGAATGCTCAGTTATATGAAGAGAGATGATCGTAAGGTTTCAATATGAAAAGTGTTACAACAGATATGATCAGGATACTATGCCATCAAAAATAAGAGGTACCTTTCCCATCCAAAGTGCTCCTGAAGAGCCACTTGAATTAATGGTAGATGAGCTAAATTCTTAAATAGGCTCAACCAGATGAAAAGAATGGGGGTGGAAAGATTTATTAAGGGCTTTTCTCCAACTACCAGTGCTAAAATTTAGTTTTCAAATATTTCTCCTCTAAAGGTGGCCTTCAAGTCCAAACATATATAAATCAAGAGAGTCTCCTTTAATGTCAAATTTAAAACAACAGCACATGTAACCATGGCACATAAGCATCACATTGAAATAAATCTGGCTTTTTGCCAATTTGATAATACATTTTCATCTTGATTGAACATCATATTGTAATCAACATAAAAATTTGCTTTTAATGTTACTACAAAATAATAGGAGATAAGCCTGAAAGACATCTTTAAAAATAAATGTCGGCAATTCATAAGACTGAACAGACACAAAATAATCAGAGTTAAGATAGTCAGAATCTAATTGTGTTCAGAATTAATAATATCCAAGGGAGAGCCATTTCCTGCATTTTCTTCTGAGTTCATGATATTGCAGGATCACCTATGAATTTATAATTTACACTAAAGAGACACAGAGAATAGCTAAGAAAATTTGGAATTGATATTGGGAAATAAACAGTACCCATGCTTCATAAAGGACTGAATTGAAGCTAGATTATGAAGGTATGTCCTTAAGTTTGCTTACAACCAATGTCACATGTTATCTAAGAGCCTAAAAATGATAATTGTCAAAGTCCAAAAATACTGATAAAACATATACCCAGCAGCTAGATAATTCTGGGAATCCCTACATACAACATTCATTTATTTGACTGCAAAGAATAGCCCCATAACAACAATGACAATACTTTAAGCCAAAATAGCAGTTTATACTGTATGACCTGTATACAATGTGAGAATGTATGGAGGTATACTGCCCTATGGAAAAAGGGATCCAGGGAGGCTGGGAAGATGACTGAGTAAGAGAACCCTAAGCTCACCTTATCCCATAGATACAACTAGATAAACTCACTTCAGTGTATATAACCCAGAAAACCACCTGAAGACTGGCAGAACAAACTCCACAACTAAAGGTAGAGAAGAGGTTACAACTAAAAGGGTAGGAAGGGGTAGAGATGCTGTGGGGAGCAAAATGGACCTTGGCAGTTGACAGGAGGGAGGGAGCCACTGGTGTGAGAAGGGCAAGAAACAGACTATCATCTCAGGGAACTGGCAAGGGAAAGATGAATCCCCATAATATCTGGCTTTGAAAGCAAGAAAGACTGAATATCGTGAGTTCTTGCAACCCTTGGGACATAAAGCCTGGAATTTTAAAAATCAGGGGGCTCTGCTCTGGGAGAGCCCCGTGGG